TCACTGAAAACCATCATTTGTATATTGAATTCTATGAAGGAAAAAGAATTGTATATGCAAACCTTGTGGTATGTAGGTTATGGGAAGCATTTAAACAAAAGCCTAAAGGATATAAAAGCAGAGAGTAGAGCTTTAGTTTAGTCTGACTGTGGCTCGGGCCTGGCTGAGGAATTTAAACACAAGCAAGAGGGAGCCACTGAAGGCTCAGGAAGCGGAAGTAGAAGAAAAGTGCCATAGAATCCTAGGGACAAAAGACTTCAGTTAGGAAAAGGGAGTCGAATGCTTTGAAGTGAGAAAGGAAGCAGAAAGTATCATGCAGCAGAGCAGCCTAAATTTCTCATTAAATTAAACAAAACTTTACAATTCAAAATGTTATATTCTTGTTAAGAAGTAATGTTGGATACATTCTTGTTCCGAATAAAAGAAGACAAGTGTCCTTAAAGACTAACAACCTTTGGGAAATTAGTCTCCCGTAGGTGGGGTGTCAGAATGTTCCACTCTTCCTGGGACAGGCTCTGTTTACAAGTGTCGCCCCAGTACTCTGTCCACTTAAGTGTCCCTTTTGATTCTCAAGTGTCCCAATTCAAATGAGATTGTGTTGACAGCTGCACAACTCTACATTTCCTAAAAAATCATTTAATTATACACTTACAATGGTAAATTTTATAGTATGTAAATTATACCTCAATAAAGTTATTTAAAAAGAAGTACCAATTTGAATGACAAATTAGAAGTTCACCCAATCCATATGCCATGGCCTCAAGTCCTTAAAAGTGGTTGACTGACCTTCCTCAAAGGGACAATTATTCCAAGGAATTCTTTTTCAAGAAGACAGACTGTTTTTCTACCAAGACAGCTTCTAGGCAGGTGACATCAAAATAAGATGCTAACCAAGTCTCAGAGACTCAATGCCATGGACATCGACTCTTTACAGCCCTTGGCAGATCCTCAATTAATGCTTCACTCACCTTGTAAATATGAAACCAACGTGGTCAATTATGTCTATTTATGAGGCAACCTAAGCCAGTGTGCTACTCTAAATAAACTCTGCTCTAAAACCATAGGCGGTCTCCACTTGCTTCAAAAGGATACATATATTGTCAAAAGCTTTGGAGTGTTACTGGCATTAAAAATTAAAGCTAGAAACTTTTCCAACTTCAACTTTAACTCTGGAGCCCAGGAATCCTGAAGAATAAAACAAAGAAACAAAAATAAAAACATTAGATCACTAAATGCCAACAGTATCATCAAGTTATGGCCATTGGGTTCAACAGCCCTGCCCGAGTCATTGAAACCAAAAGCAAAACGTCTTGCCAGTGACGTGAGGCTGTGAAAAACAGGTTTTAGCACATCTGACCAATTCCTTTGTAGAAGATTCAAGAACCCTCAGCACAAGGAAAGAACAGATTTCTTTCATAAGCAGGGAAAAAATAACCCTGTACATGATTTGAATATTTCATGTGGTTTAAACACAAGCACGACAAAGTAACCTTATTAGGTTGAATCCCAAAAATAATTCAGTACCATTTAGGCATGCACAGCACTGGTAGGCATAACACAAACAATTAGTCACTAAGTTACTGAAAGTTTCCCAAATAAAGGGACTCATTTCCGTAAACCTCATCTAGATAAGAAAAAAGGACAGAAACTGTTATCTGCCCCAAATACCCCATCATGTCAAGAATTATGATATACTTCATTTGATTTGTTCTTTAAAAATAATCTATCTCAAATAATGCTCATTAAGAAAAAACGACTTATAAAAGTGT